AATGTTCATGAGGAATAATTTTGTTTCTTAATTAAAATCACGATTTTAATATTTCAAACATAAAACAAAAAGTTGAAGAAGAAAACTATTTGAAAGTGTTGTGCTCCCTCTCCACCAGCTGCTTAACTGAAATTTCTATTTATAGAAATCATGTTATGACACTAATGTAAATTTAAGCTTATGACTTCATATAAATCTACCTCATAGTTTTCTCATTCTAATTTGACAATAGCAACATTTTCATATGTTCTTATCTTCATTTTGTTTATGTTGACTTCGATAGAAAAATCAGTACTTGAATTTCTGTATCGCATATTTTTCCTGTTTGATGTTTTTCTTATTAAATCAAGACATGTTCTGCAAAGAAAAATAATATTTTTAGTACTTAATTTAAATAATAATGTAATTAGATATGATATACTTTTTTCTCATCAAGTATCAACAACACGTAACCCAACAAGCAACCTACTAAATAAAGCAACTAGTTAGAAATTGAATACCTTTACATTCCAATTGAACCTCTTTAACCTATAACCTGCAAATAAATCAGCTCAATCTAGCAATTCTATAATGCGCTCACAAGCCCAACATTGATAGTTCAAACATCACAACTTAAAACCAAACAAAGAAAATTAGTCAATCTCAATGACAAGCAGTTCAATCACACATAACAAGCACATCAATTTCAATTAACAAGTAAGTCACACATAAGCATCAAGTGTATCAAGTCACAATGATCATCACTAGCTGGAACCATTTTCCATCGACTCTATATCACTTGCGGCAAAGACCTCGACATAATAACACTTTCCGGAAAAGACCTCGGCATACTAACACTCGTTGGCAAAGACTTCAACATGATAACACTCACTAGCAAAGACCTTTGCATAATAACACTCACCTGCAAAGACCTCAACATAATAACACTCGTCAGCAAAGACCTGTGCATAATAAAACTCACCAACAAAGACCTCATCAAATAAAACTCGCCGAAAAAGATCTTAGCATAATAACACTCACCGGTAAAGACCTCGACATCACAACACTCATCGATAAGACCTCGGCATTATAGATCATCACATGTTTCATCACAGTTTTCAATGATCAAAGAGCACAAGAAATATCACACCACATAAAAGATACAACAATTCACACAATTCAAGTCCAAATTCATGTTTTCAAGCATTTCATCAATCAACTAATAATAATTACATCAAGGTAATTCATATCATCAACATATAGATTTTTTAAATTTTCATTCCCTTTTTATTCATTTTGATATAGTAAGTGGACAATTTAAACTATTTTCCTCATTCGCATTACTCCCAACACGGAATCAATAAAGTAAGCATACAAATTCAAACTAGAATATAAAGTTCATGTCACGACCCGATTTCTTTAGTCATGATGACACCTACTATAACCCGCCAGTAGGTAAGCCAACCCGTAACCTGGTGTCACGATCCGCATGTACACCCTAGCAGTTATGACATTCTTAGGTCGCAACACAACGTACTTGACCTCTTGAAGGTCTTGTACAAACCTCTTAGACATCTTTCAATGCATATATACGAAAAGTAGCTCGGAATTAAAATTTTTCTTTCAAAACATAAAGCGGAAGTCATTTCATAAAACATCTAACATACATCTCAAAAACCATATATGACATCATGAGTACAATAGTCTTGGGTCACAACCCATAAGGTCTAAACATGAAAGAGTATAAAAGACAACATAGTAGTGATGGCCTCGGATGCTATGAGGACTCACCAATCTTCTTTCGTTGCAATCCTCGGAAACTCTACCCCTTTAAAGCAACTCAAAATCCTCAAGACCCTGCATGGACAAAATGTAGGCAATATGCCTTAGTAAGATATACTAAGTATGGAAACTATCATCCAAACATAAGATATCTCAAAGGGTTAATCAATAATTGGCATAATCATAAGAGATAAAGACACAAACATCTCATAAGCATATTAAAGCATATAAGAGTTTATACTTAAATCATCGTCCTTCTTACTCAAATGAACTACCTCACAAGCCACCTCCAAGTATTCTAGTGCAAGACTAAGGTAGCATCTCATACTACTGCCAAAGCTAAGTACATCTCTTTGGTCATTCTTGATCATAGCCCACTTTCATAATTAAGACCTAAGTTCATCATATCATATGAGCACTACGCCTTAGGACACCTCAAAGCACACTTGTGTAATGTATGTGAAGCATCCCATTCTACCTCACACACTAAGCATGTCTTAAAGTCACCTCTAATCCCTTTCATTTTAGTAGTCCCTAGTAGACCAACTTCATATTGACAAGGAACTATCATCTTAAGTCAATCATGTCATAGAGAGCAACTATAACACTACCCAAGATAAACATACATCATGGTCATGTCATAGGTAGCTTCAAGTCATACTTGTGTCATGTATAAATAGCATCCCATACTACCATACATACTAAGTACTCCTCTAGACTAACCTACTCCAAGCTAACTTGTCTTGCATTCTTGTCTATTAAGCTCAACTTTCTACCATAATACACCTACTACCATGGAAATCATCTCATCATACTATCCAAACTAACTAAGGAAGGATATAACAATCCTAACCACCATGCAACCAATCATGTCGATGTAAGCTAATCTTAGGGGAGCATGGATCCTCAACCCTAAGCTACCATTAGAAACCTATCTCAAGCCATTCCATGAATAAACCTTACATTCAAATCAAAATACCATTAGAAGAGTATAGGCCTTTCTCCTAAAGCTACCATGAAATGGTTTTGACCAAATCAAGTCAAGCTAACATGAAGTTCAACACCTAAATCTACCATAAGTAATCTAACCCAAGCTTCCTTAAGACTCACCATTTCAAGCTACCATGAGTAATTCAATTCAAGCCTCCTTGAGATTTTAACATCTCCAGCTACCCTTGAGACCTTAATATCTCAAGCTATCATGAGTATTTCAACTCAAGCTACCATGTCCTTGGTGTTGTCTCACCAAGCCTACTACACAAGAAGTGACCATACAATTCATATTCAAGCTAATCTTAGTCTACCATGCATTGATTGATTTTAGATTCTTAAGTCAACCTAGGGTTCATCTATTGCGAGAACTTGTTTCTCCTAATCATGTTCATGTCTTATTATGACTACACCCCCAAAGCCCTAGCAATCAATTGGCCATAAGCCCTACAAATGACTACTACATTTAGTCCCTCATGATTCATACTCAATAACATGTTAATTTATTCAATTAGATCATTAGAATACAACTTTAGTCATACATGATCATATAGGTTCAATTCCAATTTCCTAGGTCAAGATCATTCCTAATCAATTAGACCTAGTTCAATTCATATCTAGGTGATTTGTTGATCAAAATTTGATTGAAAATGCAAATATGAAAATATTATGTGTTATTACTTGGTTGACAATGTTTTTTAATGAATTAATTAAAAAAAATATATATTATTTTAACTAATTAGAGATAAAACAATGATGATAATTTGAAAATGTTTAATATCCCTAAAAACGTGTTAATCATATATTTATCTTTAATTAAACTCCGTAAAAAGTACAACTATTCATTTTCACAAACGTGTCTACATGCATTAAATGTAGCAATTAATAAAAAAGCAAAAGTTCCATGATTGGTGTTGTCAGTGTGTTAATTATTAACATTAATTATCCATTATTACTTTATCCCTTTAATTTTTAATTAACTGTTTCTTTTTAATAAATTATAATTAACAATATAATTATAAATAAAATGCTATAGAATGAGATATTAAATACTACACAAGGAAATTGAAAATCTAAAGCCATAACTTGATAATATTACCGTATAAAATGCAATATACAAAATTTACACATACAACTTTAATACAATTCCATAAACTTCACATTTTTCGAGTTTCAATCTAATATTTCTCCTAAAATCAATTATAAACTTAATCAAATCCTTTTAAAATTGAGATATAAATTTCAAAAGATTTCAATTATTTGTAGGAACAACCTATCAAAACTAATTACAAATTCATAAAATTCAAATAATAAACTCAAAATTTGAAACTTTACAATGACCATCAATGGAGAACTATTATTATTGTAATTTTAGATATTTGAAATTTCTACTTAAAAATACGATTTTGTACAATTTTTCATCTTTCCATTTCTTTATTCGTCATATTTTTGGATAAAAGTAATGAAATATGGGTAAAAATAATTTCAAGATAGTTATTTATATGAGAATTTCGGAGAGGAAGAAGAAGAACTTTAAAATAAAAAAGAAAGAAAGAAGAGGAGGAAGATAATAATGATAGAAAAAGAGACGAAGACGAAGAATAAAAAAAGAAGCGAGGGAAGAGAAAAAAAGGACAGTGAAAGAGATAAGCAATTGTACAATTTTCTTAATTTCAAAAAAATGTTATATTTGTACAATTTTCTTAATTTCAAAAAAATGTTATATTTAATTAGAAAAATTATATTAACATGAATGATAAATATTTATTTAATATAGCTTATTTATGTGATTTACCTAATAAAATATATAAAATTGAAAACTATAAACTAACTAAAATATATCAATAAAATAGATTATAAATAATATTTTATCCATAATTAAAAAATTACATATGGATTTAGTTTGAATTCGCTTTGACTTTTTTTCTTTTAATATCAAATCAAAAGTGAAATTTTTTTTTTAAACCACCAAACTAATAAAATCAAATCAAATCAAAAGTGATACTTTTTTTTTAAACCACCAAACTAATAAAACCAAACCACAAATTAATTTTTCAATCGGATTTAACTCATCAGATCAATTTGACTTGTACACCCCTATGAAAAGACTTATAAATAGTGAAGGAAAAAACAAAGTGAGGCTCTCCACGCGCCTGTTTAGTTATGAATGAGCATTGAGCAATTGTAATAACAACATTGTATACGCGGTTGAGTTGTCTCTATCTATCTTCTCTTGAATCTCTTGACTTTGACTTGTCGTTTCATTTTCCTCAAGCCCTCAATTATTCAAATAGTTCTTTTTCATCATCTTTTAGTACTATACAACTATTGATGAACAACCCATATATCCTCAAATTATTTATCCAATTCTGTCTTTTTGTGATATTGGGGCTGTGCAAAGCAACAAGATGAAGTGGGTGTCAGTGAAAAATGAAGGGAAGATGTTATTCAAGTCTAAATTGAAGTTGGTTGCTTTAGCTGGGCTAGTTCTATCTATTCTTTCTTTATTCACCCATTTTCTTCTAGCTAAACATACATATGGGATTGTTTATGAGTACCATTCTTCAGTTACAATCATGTCATGGATGCCTAAATTCAAGAAGTCAGATCTCTCCATTAGTAATGTAATGTGCTTAACTAAACACCTCCAAGATCTCATCTTTAGTCATTTTTCTTAATTTTCTTGAACTTTTTTTTAGCTTCAGTTTCTGTTTCAGACTGATGCTCTTTCTTGCTGTGAGTTCATGGTGATAAAATTAGTTTCATGTTATTCTTGTTTTTGGGGTCAGCTGATGCAATGTAATGTGCTTAAGCCCCTCAAAAGTCTAATCTTTAGTTCTTTCATGTTTTGATTCTTTAACTTTTTTGTTTTAGCTTTCCCTCTTCTAGATTGCTGCATTTGCTTGCTTGAGTTATTGGTAAAAAAAATTGTTTCCTGTTACACTCTTTTTGGTGTCTGCTAATGTAATGTGGTTAAATCCCTTCAAGATCTCATCTTTAGTTATTCCTGTTTTGATTTTTTAAACATTTTATGCTAAACTTCAAATCCCTATTTTAGATGGCTGCAATTGCTTGTTGGAGTTAATGGTAATATTCTTAGTTTGTTCTTTTTGTGGGTCTGATAATGTAATGTGTGATCAAACCTATGTTGCTTGGATTCTTCAACAATGTCAATTAATGCGTGCCGGATACTCCAAAAGTAATGCAATTTGGAGAATCTGACAGGGGTGTGGCAGCAGTGCGTGCCGGATACTCCAAAAGTAATGCAATTTGTAGAATCTGACAGGGTGTGGCAGCAATTGGAGGGTCCGAGCAATACAGGCTTAACCCCTTCCAAGATCTCATCTTTAGTTCTTCCTGTTTTAATTTTATAATTTTTCTTTAGCTTCAATTCCCTGTTTTAGACTGCTGCATTCTCCTGCTTGAGTTAATGAAAATAGCTATAGTTCATTTACTCTTGTTTTTGGCTGGGGGCTGATGGATCTGAATGGTTAATTGATTATGTGTATTCTTGTTGGCTACTGATGCAACACTTCTCATGCAGCATCCATCTTACAGGAGACTATGGGCTCCAGTTAGGCATTTTGAATCTTTACATCCTCTTGCAAATCAGAGTGGAGATTATGCAGGTTAGATTCACCTTCATATTTTTTGTGTTCTATATCATGCAGCTATAGCAGTCTTTGTTAATTGTTTAGCGAAATTGTAATGTTACCAATTACTTATAATTGTGGTTCAAGGTTGAGATATTGTTGATCAACCAATTAATGTGACTTGTGAGGTACAATAACTTTTAGGAAATAATCGAGTTAAGGACCATATTTTCCCTGACTAATCAGTTTCCGGCCCAAGTGTGTTCATCCGTCTTCATTCAAATAAAGACGAACATCTCATTTATCTGTTTCCTAACTCTAATAAAAACCTGATTTAAATATTAAGCTGTCAACTAGATCTGAGGACAATTGCATTATATTCATTCATCTATATAGTTCCATATGCAATATGTTTCTGTTTCACAAGGGGCATGTGGACTTGCTTTTAGAAAATCTTCTGCAAGTGATAAGCGTTTTGCTTGAATCAATATGCTCTCCAGCTGCTTAAGTTAGTGAATTTTAAGCAACCTACTTAAACAGTTAAATGTGTGGAGCGTGGTAAGTAATATTTGGTATTTCTAGATGAACTTACTGTAAACTCCATAAGATATTTTGACATTTCTGTAATCCATTTTGTGACCTTCTGAAATCTGCCTTGATATTTTCATAGTGGAGTTCTTGCATATGCTGCAATTCGCCATTTCTTATCCAGTGCCAATCCTTTTACTAGATTAATATGATCTGCGGCTAGGCCAACTTCACACATCTTCTTTAGTAACTTTTAACATCCATTCTGGAATAAAATGATTGAAAAATCTGAAGTAGACATTTTCTGCTGTGCTTGGTATTTTCCATTTCTTTTTCTACTTGTTACTATTTGTTTCAATCGTGGCCTTTTTGCAGCTCCTGAAATGCAATCAATTGGATTCATCTTTGTCAAGATACGTGGGGGTTTCCATGAGATTAGGAATGCGGTAAGGTATCCTCTGGTGCATAATCGGCTTGCTTTTAAATACTCCAGTAATTTATTAGGCTTCAATTGTCTGGCAGATTTCTGATGTTGTTGTAGTTACGAGACTCCTCAACGCTACCCTGGTCATTCCAGAGATCCAATCAACCACTAGCAGCAAAGGAATAAGGTTCTGTCAAATTTCTTAAACCTGGAGAATTAATGCAAAAATTGATGATACTAGACTATTTTCCATAAAGATGAGATATCTTATTTTTTTAAAAAAAACAGAGAAAAATGTCGGGACATTAGCCTCAGCTCTCAACTTTTTTTAATCAGTAGAAGATAGTCTTATTGATAACCTTATGAGTGTGAAGGCAGAATGTACAGAATAGCCAATACATACTATTGCTTTCAGAGCTCAACATATGGAGTCCACTTTAAAATATTGATGGAATGATTATCTATATTACATACAACTGCAAAATGGCTAAACTGCTCAATTAAGTCGTTATTCATTTTGCTACTTCATTTTTGCAGCACTCAGTTCAAGAGTTTCCCGTACCTCTATAATGAGGATCAATTCATAGCAGCACTAGCAAAAGATGTCAAAATTGTAAAAACCCTTCCAAAAGATCTGAAAGGAGCGAGGAGAAAGAAAGAAATTCCTTCATTTAAAGTTCCCCATGGGGCATCCCCATATTTTTACCTGCACCATGTTCTTCCTATGTTGACTAAGCACTCTGTGGTTGAGCTTCTTGTTCATAGTGGTGGATGCTTGCAGGTAACATCCATTACCTTTATTTCAAATAAATATGCCCTTGGATATTACATTCTTTTTAAGATCATAATATTACACTATAATGGTTTGTTGCATTAGAATTCACAAATGTGGATTATTTCAAAAGAAGTTTTACGAGGACATCCAATTCGATAAAGTAGGAGAATCATATTTTTGGAAGAGGTGAAATCATTTACATCTCTATTACACAAGCTCTTCTGCAATCATGCAACCAAGTTTGACTTGAAATGGAAGCATAATAGTGACTCTTTTCTTTTTCACCTTTTTTTCTTTTTGATAACCAACTCTTACTTATCATCTATCATCTACATAAGCATATACCTCCTAAACTTGTATCTCTAGTAAAGTAATTGTTTGCTGACTTCTCATCTTTATACTAGTATTCCAAGACCCAATAGTTGTCACATATCTATAAAACTATGGAACATTATGCTTTGCAGAAAGAGTACTGTAAATTGTAGAAGGTTGAGTTCAATTTATCTTTTTAGATAATGTATTGTAAATATGTGTCATCCATTAATTGGAAATATTGTAGCTGTTTGGTTTGAACATATTTATTGTTGGAATACTGCTTGACACGTTTTCTTCTTTTGAATATGCAGTCCTATTACTTCATTCTTCTTTTCTGATGGTCTATGCATCCTCTCTTCATGTCCATTCTGACCATACTGTTTCTTCACATTTTGACTTGTCGTGTTTTACTGTGTATGAGTCAGTCTATCCTGCCTCCACCACTTGTGGAGTATCAAAAGCTGAGATGCAGGGTTGCTTTTCATGCCTTACGGTTCAGAGAGGAGGTCCAAAATCTCGCTATTAAAATCTTGAATAGGTAACTTACTAATTTCTTACTCATTGAAATGAAGATTGTTTTTGGTTATGCTTATTTCTTGTCTTCTCGCAGAATAAAAGCTTCAGGACAACCATTTATTGCCTATGATCCGGGGATGACCAGAGACGCTTTAGCATATTATGGTTGTGCAGAACTTTTTCAGGTATGTTCAAAACTTGGGAGCATCATATGGCGAATCAAGGTTGGGCTTTGCAAATATTATTTGTCTTGTGTCTGACGTATGTTCTGCCCATATATTTTTCCTCTAGGATGTACATACTGAACTCATCATGCACAGGCGTGCATGGATGATAAAACGTGGAATTCTGAAAGGGAATCTTTCTTCAGATTCAGCAGAACAATATCGTAATGGCTTGTGTCCTCTCATGCCTGAAGAGGTACCTTGCATCCTTCAGTTTAATATAAATTCTTCCCATGAATTCTTGTATTACTAAATGTGTACTTGTGACGTCCTTCCTAGCAATAGTTTCAAGACCAACTTATCTAATGCTTTTCATGTTAATCGCCCCTTTCATACGATGAGACTTGTCTATGCTGTTGTCATTTGTTCATCATGTCTCGGTATTACCTTATTAAGTTAAGACATGGGTAGGTATGTATTGAGAAACACAATTCATTATAATATATATGTATATATTGAGAAAAATTTAAATGAAATAATATTTAATCAAGTAAATTTTCTGACAGATTGGTATTCTCCTTCGAGCATATGGTTACTCATCCGACACTATCATTTATATATCTGGCGGAGAGGTCTTTGGTGGGGTGAAGAAGTTAATTCCACTGCATGCTATGTTTGAGAATGTTGTTGATAGGACTTCCTTGAGCTCTCCTCTGGAGTGGGATAAAGTATATGGTCAGGAGGCAAACCTTGTTGACCAATATTCAATACCTCCACCTTCAGATAATGTGGTCAGGAGATCACAGGCATGGAAAAATTCTGGCCCACGACCTCGTCCACTACCACCGCCCCCAGCACGGCCGAAGATGTACAATGTTGAAGGTTGGTGGGGTTGGGTAGCCGAGAGTGATGATGAGCCAGAAAGTACCATCATGGAGTTGAGAACTAATGCTCATCGGTTACTGTGGGAAGCAATTGACTATATGGTTTGCACTGAAGCAGATGTATTCATCACTGGATTTGACCGTGACGGTAAAGGAAACCCAAATCTTGCTAGTTTGGTTGTGGGTCATAGACTGTATCAGTTTCCTGCATCTCGAACTTATGGTCTGGACAGGTAATGTATTCTGAAGCTAACTTTCTTTTTGGTCATTTATCCACACTTCTTATTTTTCTCTCTATACTCAAACTTCTTTTTTTCTCCTAAATTAGGGCCAGGGTTGGTAAATGGCTAAAAGTTGGTTCTATTTCATGACTGACTAAAACAACTTAGCTACAAAAATAATTGGTGTTACTTGTGAAACTAAGGGTGTGTTCGGTATGGAGAATGTTTTTCAGTTTTCTCAGGTTCGATTGTTCAAAGTTTTTAGAAAATATTTTCTCTAGGAAAACAAGTTCCTTAAAAATGAGAAAATGACTTTCCTAGTGGAAGTAGGGAAAACAAGTTCCACAAGTAGCATTCCACATTAATTTCGGCCTCCCACCCTCCAACACACGTCATCTTCACCCAACCCTGTTTCCCCATCCACCCCACCCCACACCCCTACCCCCACTCACACCTGCCATAATTTTTATGTAGATTATATACAAATGCTTTTAAGATAATAATATTTGTACTTACGTACTGAACACAAAAAAAAAAAGAGGAAGAACCCCACTTATTTTCATAGGAAACATTTTCCCAAAAAACAACTTCCATGGAAAAGATTTTCTTTCACAAATGAACACATCCTAAGTTCTCTATAGCTCATTGCACGTCCTTTGGTTTAACTCGGGCAGTTTTATTGCAGAAGGATGTAACTGAATTTGGATTTATCATTAATATTTGTCTTCTACAGTTCATCCACTTCGGTAATCTATGGTCATTTTTTTCTTGTACTCAAGATGTTATTTTATGCTGCCCCTGACACCCTTATTCAGTATCTAGACAAGAAGTGAAGTGCAGAATTTAAACAAAATCAACTCGAGGTTTTACATGGAAAAACTCCTCTGATGAGTCAAAAAATCACGGGTTATAGATGCCAATCACTAGAGCATCAGAGGAGCTAACCATTGTAGCACCTACTCTTCTCCCTCTCTACATTGTGCTTCAATTATAGGCCTGTACTCTGACTCAACAACTCACAACACTAAACAACACCTAATACAAATCAATTAAGAATTGTTAAGGGGTTAAAAACTCACAGAAAATCAACTGGACAACCCATAACTCTTGTGGATATACTTGATAGGAACATGTTATTTACAATGTTTCCCATTGATTCGCTCTCACACAAGACAAATAGATCTTCTTGATGTGTGCTCTCTTCTCTCTTTATATGAATATATTCACAAGCATCAATTAGATCCTTTATATAGGAGTGAGTAGCAACCTTTTGTGACATCCCGATTCAACTCGAATTAGTTTTAGCTCACAGCTCACAGCTCAATTGCTCTCCCTAGCACATGTAGCTCTCTAGCTTACATTGCTCTCTCCAACACATGTAGCTCTCTAGCTCATGACACTCTCAGCTCAGCAATTTCCCCGTATTTGATGACAACAAAGTCATAACATCCCACAACAAAAACTTTAACAGTTCATTGTAGTCGTATGTGCACTCAGGTGCAAATATTCTCCCTAAGAACCAACGTCATGTTTATCATCAGGACTTGTAAGATCTGAAGCTCTTAGCTAAGTTTTCTCTGGGACTAACCTTTCGCTCATAGCAATCGGTAGGAGGCTAGGTTATGTAAAACTGCTCAGATCCATATCATATTTTCTCAAGGACCAGGTTCACTCATAAATCTTGCTTCAAGGACCTTATTCATTCAGCAAACTGTTACAGTGTCAGTAGTTAGGAACCAGGTTCTTTCTTCCTCAATGATTATAGAGTTATGTAGTATTTTAGTGAACTCAATTTTCCCCTTTTTGGTATCATAAAAAAGCAACTGCTTTTAGTAGAATCTTCATGAGAGAAAAGTAGTATTTATTCCTAACTCAAGAACACATCAATGCCAAAATGGAAGATATTTTGATGCATCCTTTTAATCCATACCGACCAAACCAAATAGATTATTAATTCAGTCACAACACTGCTTGGTCTTGGTTTTCAAAGGGTGACCTGAAAATAAGTTCGTTTGTCAAAAGAAGGAAGGTTTATAAGTGTGTGTGTCCAAGTAATTTTGTAGAGAGAAGCAGTGACGTTCTCCAGTTCTTCTCCTTGCCTTCTTCAATTTTGATCATCTGGATAATCAGATTTTTGCTCCTTGAACTTCTTTTTCCCAATGGAATACCAATGATAAGGTTCTCATTATCACACTTACTTTTTTTTATGAGTAATTTTTTCTATTGCAGGCATCAAGTAGATGCATAATAGTCACAAACGCTTAGTAGCAAATGATCAGCTCTTCTTTACATTGTTAGTTAAGACTCAGGGAGCTGACAAAGTTCAGAAATGAATCAGAGGATCTAGAGGGGACAAATAAACCCAACTATACAAAAACATGAGGCAATTTAGCTTTTAAAGATTGGTTGGTACTAGGTAGTTGATATTCCATCAAAGCATCTTCTATTCCTTTCATTCCAGATACTCCAAAAAATGACTGCACGTATCATCTTCATTCTCTTGATGGTGCTATCAACTTTCCAGAAACTCCAGCTTATCAAAACATTCCTGATATTCTTAGGCATGACATATTGAGGCCAAAAAGAGCTAAAAAACATACTCCATAAATCTGCTGCTACTTCATCCAATCACATCAATTTGATGGTCTGACATCGAAGGAACCGAGTTCTTCATCAGTCTGTGTATCACTTCAGCTCTTCATCAGTATTCAGCATTGAATTTTGTGAACATCGACCATTCCGTGCATAATACTTGCAATGAAAATCCTCCTTTGTTCTCACTCTCAGCTCAAACACAAAATACTACAAGTATGCTAGTTAGTTGAACTGTAACTATAATGGGTATTACATGTGAAAACCTGCATTTGGATGTAAAAGACAAAAATTATTTTTCTTTTCCAGTTTTTGCAAGCACTGTAAAAATGTTATGGAGTTTTTTCAATCAAATTCCATTAGAGAAACATTCAGTTTTTGCAAAATTGGAAGTTTTCTCTAATGGCGTGTGGTTCAAAAAAATGGGTGGGACAGTTATATTCCAGCGTTTGCAAGCAACCGCAGTTGCTTTAGTGACATGACTTGCACTGTAGCTCACCTGCGAACCATTGATTAAACTCTGAATTGAATCGTAAAACGATGTAATTGATGGTTTTAAAAAACCTATTTATGCTAAATAACACAGGGAAATCAAAATCTGCACCTAAAACATAAAGACGGAAGACAACAGAATAAAGCAGAAGAGCTTTTTTTTTTTATACTTCAGATTATATATATAAAAGCCTAGAATGAAAAGTAAAAAATAATAACACATGATCTATCATTCACTAAACAACTCCTAAATAATAGGAAAGCATGACTAACAACTAATTGATTAAGTCTTACTTAAAACATAGGCAGTAAAATTAAATTTACTGCAGTTCAAAAGGAGATTCCTAACAGTAATTGAATCTGAATTTGTTATTAACCTCAGCTGTCCACATTTCTTCAACGTTTCTAATCTATGGTCATTCTTATTCCTTTTATCAAAATACTCAAGTATGCTAGAAGCCTAGAACTGCAACTCTTCATGGCTTTATTGCACTAATCCCTTGTTCCTTCATATATTAAATGTAACATTATGCCCAATGGAAAGTTGTGTTGATGAGATGGGGTAAGTTTGAATAGTTGACACAAATCCATGTTTGATGACAAAATATGTTTGAATATGAGACCTGGTAAGTCCCGTGGGTTTCACTTGTTAGTTGACCTCCATGACTGAGAACAGCCAAAAGAAACTGTGTCTTTAGTGTGTAAAATGGAACTTATGGAGAGGCACCAAGGTCTGTGCTAGTAGAGCATAGTTGCTTGTCGTCCAATTCGTACTTTTTGGCTGCAAAGTCACCTGCATGTCAACCTACTTAGATCTCCATATTTGCCTTCACCATTTGGAGAAATTTTAGTTGTAACACAAATAGGATAACATATTCCTTGACAGGTTTCTGATGTGTTGTTATCTGAGTTAATGCAGGAAAGAAATTGCCAAACTTTTTGAGGAGATTCGCGATACTCTTTATCAACCCAATCACACCTGGATAACATCACTGCGCAAACAATTAAGAAGAAGTTTAATCGATGGATTGTTGGAGGAATCCAAAATCTCCAAATCACAGTCTTTTCTTGCATTTCCAGTTCCTGAATGTTCTTGCATTGCAAATGATTCCATGAAGAGATCAATCAACACTTCAAGCCCTATGCCAAAATATGATATTCCAGTGTTTTCTGGACAAATAGACCAATGCCCTTCTTGGATGAATGCCCCCACTTCTTCTCAATCAAGGGAAGAAACAGAAGAGGAAAATGACAAAGATGATTCGGCCTCCTCGAATCTGTTCTTGTGGCTGGGTTATGGCGATCAAGAAGGTGATAGCACAGACATTAGCAACAAAGAAGAAGCTTTTGTGGAGGATCAAGAAGAACTCGAAGGAGGAGAAAGATAGGAAAAGAGAACCAACTAGTCAGAAAAAGGAAAGAACAACTCTTGCTAAACTGCATCGGGTTCTTTTTAACAACACATGCAGACTAGGGAAGCTCGTACGACTTGAGGTAAGCTTAGCTACCAAAAGATGCTACAACTGACATTTCAGATTGTTGGAATCCAATTTTCACAGAAGAAACAGTTGTAGTTAAGGGTGACACTTGATTTCTGATAATTTGGATACAAAATGGAAGCTGGTGGTGTAAATTATTTACATAATTCTGTAGAGCCAGTTAAACAGGAAAAAATCTAAGTTCTATGCACTGTCGATGTTAAAAATATTCACACAATCACTCCACATGATGAGAGTAGGATTGTAGTAGGTTGTAACTCTATTGGTTCTGCTCTTTTTATGATATTTTTAAGGTCCTGTATTTTGGACTGATTAGCATATAAACATGTTAGTTAATCTAATTTAGGAACTTTCCTGTTAGTTCATCCCCATGTGATAATTTGATTTATTGCAAGATCTTTCCAGTAAGGACCCTTTCTAAAACAATATTTGTATTTTGTTCCAAGTTTGCTGGATAGTAGTGTAGAAGTTATAAATGGCCTAGGATTATTCTAAACCAAATGAACGTTAGGAGATAAACTAAATACTAGGAACATTGGCTGAATGGAAACAGAGTGCCCTGCTCACTGTTAATCTAGGCCCTTCCATAATCATCATAAAGTGAAATCATGTCCATGATATTGGCCACCACCTCTTTGGACTTCTTGAGCACCTTGACATTCTCTCTGAGTCTATTGCATTTTTCAGCTACCAAAGGTGACTAATTGTTACTCGATTGCAGGAATTCGCAATGAATTCGAGGATCGAAAAACTGTTTCAGGATATCTTGAGAAAACAGTTAATAGTGAAAGAAGAAGAAGAATAGGAAGAGAGATTAGAAAGAGAAAGAATATTCTGTGTATTTTCATATCATGTATAGAATTGTATTACACTTTATATAGAATTGAAATTACAACTGAAATGGATTCAATTCATTTTAACTAATTCAATTATTTTGATTTCATGTGCCCAACTAACTAACTTTAACTACTTTTATCACTAACTAATAAATGGAATCTCTTTTTTATGTAACAGTACTTTCCCCCAATAGAAGATCCTTGTCCTCAAGGATCAAACAACGGAAACCTGGTCTTCAAAACAGTAGCAAATTCCCAAGTGGCATTATCAGCAGAAAAACCACACCACTTGACATGCACTTGAGCAACAGCCTTGTTACCCCGCTTGACCATCCTTCCCTGCAACACTAACTCAGGTTCTGGACAATGGGGACTAGCCAAATCAATAGTAGGAGGATAAGAAATATGTGTAGGCACTTCATAACACTTCTTTAAGAGAGAAACATGCACAGTAGGGTGTATTTTGACAGAACTGGGTAATAAAAGAGTGTAAGCAACTGGACCAACTCTCCGTAAAATCTGAAATGGACCATAGAACTTTGCAGCCAACTTTTGAGAAGTATGGTTGGAAATAGTGGTCTGTTTGTAAGGTTGGATTTTGAAGTAAACCCAATGCCCTACATTAAAATTTCGGTCACTCCTATGAGAATCAACTTGTTGTTTCATCCTCAGTTGAGCTCTACTCAGATGATGTTTAAGAAGTTGTAACTTTAGTTCTCTACTAACTAATGTACTATCAATCTCTGCTGAAGATGATTCCCCTGGCAGATACGGTAAATGGAGAGGTGGTGGTCGACCATACAAGGCCTCATAAGGAGTGGTCTGAATGGCTTAGTGGTATGAAATATTGTACCAATTCTCAGCCATTGACAAACAATTAACCCAATTTGAGGCATCCTCATGACAGTAGCATCGCAAATATGTCTCCAAACACCTATTTAACACCTCAGTTTGTCCATCAGATTGAGGATGATAGGCAGTAGAAGTATTAAGTTGTACTCCTTGGATGGTGAATAATCCTTGCCAGAATGAACTCAAGAAAATAACATCTCTATCGCTAGTAATGGTCTCAGGTAAGCCATGTAGCTTAACAACATTATCAAAAAACACCTGAGCAACCGACTGAGCAGTATAAGGATGTTTAAGAGGAATGAAATGTCCATACTTACTAAGCCTGTCCACCACTACCAATATCACTTCATAGCCATTGGATTTAGGTAATCCATCAATAAAATCCATGTTAATTTGTGACCAAACCACATCATGAATAGGAAGAGGTTGTAGTAAGCCAGGATATGCAGCAAGATCAGACTTAACTTTTTGACAAACATCACACCTTTGAATAAACTGTTTTACGTCAGTCCTCATATGCTTCCAATAGAACAAAGTGAGAAGCCTTTTTAGTGTAGCCTCCACACCTGAATGACCTCCTTGAGAACCTGCATGCCATAATGTCATAATCTCAGTCCTAAGACTTTGATCCTTGCCAACTACAAGCTTTCCTTTTCTTCTTAGGCGACCTTGGTACCAAGTAAACAACTTATGAGTAGTGGGATCTGTCTGTAAGTCTGAAATGAGTTGTTGAAGTTCAGCATCTGAAGACCAACTATCTACTATAGCTTGGAATAAATCAGTCCAGTAGGAGACACCACTAAAGCTAATAATTCTGCGCCAGAAACTCTAAAAAAGGGCATCAATGACCTTATTATCAACTCCTTTTTTGTATTCAATCGCATAGTCAAATGGCATCAACTTGGTTAACCATAACAATTGAGAATTTGTGTGTAGTTTCTGCTCCATAAGGAACTTCAGAGCCTTCTGATCAGTCCTTATGATGAATTTTTGTCCTAACAGGTACTGAGACCACTTAGTTACAGCCTGGACTATAGCTAATATTTCTCTATCATACACAGATAGGGCAGCATGTCGGGGAGATAAAACTTTACTGATGAAAGCTATAGGATGTCCTTCCTGCATAAGAACAACTCCTATTCCATATCCACTAGCATCTGTCTCCACCACAAAAGTCTTGGTGACATCAGGTAATGCTAATACAGGGGCCTGTGTTAATGTAGTCTTAAGTATGTTAAATGCTGTCTGCGCTGTATTTGACCATCTAAAATTATTCTTCTTAGTTAAGTCAGTCAATGGTTTGCTTATCATGCCAAAACCCTGGATAAATATCCGGTAATACCCAACCAACCCTAAGAAAACCCTTAGTTGTTTAAGAGTGTTTGGTATAGGCCAATTCCTTACGGCTTCAACTTTTTGTGGATATGTAGACACTCCCTCAGATGTATTAAAATGGACAAGGTATTCAATTCGTTGCACCCCAAAGAAACACTTGCTTTCCTTAGCTATAAGTTGATGCTTCACCATCTCTACAAAAACAGATCTCAAGTGTCTAACATGATCTTCCATAGTCTACTGTAAATCAGGATATCATCAAAGAAAACAAGCACATGTTTCTTGAGATATTTCTGAAAGACAAAATTCATTAGACCTTGAAAAGTAGCTGGTGCATTTGAGAGGCCAAAAGGCATCACTAAGTATTCATAGTGTCCTGAATGAGTTCTGAAAGCAGTCTTAGGTACATCGTTTGATGCCATTCTCAATTGTTGATATCCAGACCTCAGGTCTATTTTCGAAAATATCTTGGATCTTCCCAACTCATCTAAGAGATCCTCAACAATAGGTAAGGGGAACTTTTTTTTTACAGTGAATTTATTCAAATCCCTGTAGTCAACACACAGTCTCCATGACCCATCTTTTTTTTCCAACCAATACAACAGGAGATGCAAATGGACTAAAACTAGGCTGAATAATCCCCTGATCTAACATCTGTTGAACTAACCCCTCAATAACATCCTTTTTAACTGAAGGATATCTATGAGGCCTCTTGTTCATAGGTTCCGTCCCAGCTTTCAACACAATTCTATGATCAAAAACACCTCTTTAAGGTGGTAAACAAGCAAGTTCTTCAAACAATTTTTTAAATTCAGATAATAAGGCTAAAAGACTAGGAACACCTTTCATGTCCTGCACATTGTCTGTCTCATGAGCTTTCACTTTTTCACTTCCCATTGGAATTACTTGAATCATACAAAGTTGAGATTGATTACCTGATTGTTTTGCTAACTTCCCAGCACCAACAGTTAACATCTGGTTGCCAGCTCCCCTGAGTAAATGCTTCCTTCCTTTGTACCGAAATTCCATGGTCAGATTCTTGAAGTTCATCTTTATATCTCCTAAAGTGAGCAACCACTGGACCCCCAAAACTACTCCATAACATCCAAGTGGCAACAGTAAGAAATCAACTGTAAATTCAGCTCCTTGGAGTAACCAAGTAATAGTGGTCATCTTGTCCATCCTCATGCTACCGTTTGCTGCAGCAACCAACTGAGGTGAAGTAGACCTGATCTCACAACCTAGTTGACCAACCAACTCAGGTTCAGTAAAATTGTGAGAACTGCCAGTATCTATCAAAATGTTTAAGCTCTTCTTTGAATGATAACCAGTCACTTTCAAAGTTCTATATCCTAATGATCCATTTAGTGCATGCATAGATATCTCCATATGTTCTGCAGGTTGGACCAGTTCCCTTGTATTAAATCCCTCCTCATGTATTTTCCTTTCCTGTTCCTCCATCAGACATTCACTTTCTTGGAAGTCTTACACTTGTGTCCAGGAATGTACTTCTCATTGCAGAAATAGCATAATGCTTTTGATCGTTTCTCATTCATCTCCTCCGCGCTTAGTGTTCTCCTGCTCATTCCTCTAGGCCCATTAGAACCCCCAAATCCAGGTGTAGAAGAATAGGTTTGCTGTTGTAATTTCTTTGTTCTGTGAATCTTCTTGAATTCACTTGAGAATTTATTTGTGCAGGTTGTCTAACTGCTGCTATATAAGAATCTTGTAGCCTTTCACTTCTGTAAACTTGAGCCAATGTAGTGGGGTTAGTCACTTTCACATCAAGATTCAGTTCATGCTTCAGTCCTCCAATGAAACAACTAATAGCATTTTCCTGTGATAAATTCACCCTTGTGAAATTCCTTTTAAATATAGCTTGGTATTCCTTCACACAACCTATCTGTTTAACCTTCTTGATCTCCTCCATGGGGTCATCAAAATCAGTCCCAGATCTTTCAACCATAGCCATCACATATTCATTCCAAGTAGTAGGTTGTAAGTACTGTCTGTATCTCATGAAAGAAAGATGCCATTGGATGGCTTCTCCTTCCAGTTGCATTGCAGCCACTGTTACCTTTTCCTCTACAGCTACATTTTCCATGGAAAAAAATTGCTCAATCTTGAAAAGCCACGATCTCAGATCTTCCCCTGTAAACCTAAGGAATTCCATTCGGGACCATCTTGAGAAGTTTGAATGATGGGTGTTGTAACTGGTAGGACTCCTGGGTCTGTGACTTCTCTCCTCAGAATGGTGAATTCTTTCATCAAGTTGTCTTGCAGTTGAAGGACCACCTTCTATAGGAGTTCTCTCCCTCCCAGATTCTCGATTAGTGATCAATTGTTCCTTTAATTCCATGACTACTTGATCCAACCTCTTCAGGTTTGTAACTTCCCCTGCCAACGTTCCCATTTTTTCTGCCAAATTCTGCATCATTTCCCTCAATTCCCCAATTTCTGTTAGAGAATTATCAGAAGATCTTGTTCCTTTCGCCATTAAAAATCCAAGGATAGAAGGCTCTGATACCAATGTTACTCGATTACAGGAAGTCGCAATGAATTCGAGGATCGAAAAACTGTTTCAGGATATCTCGAGAAAATAGTTAATAGTGAAAGAAGAAGAAGAATAGGAAGAGAGATTAGAAAGAGAAAGAATATTCTGTGTATTTTCATATCATGTATAGAATTGTATTACACTTTATATAGAATTGAAATTACAACTGAAATGGATTCAATTCATTCTAACTAATTCAGTTATTTTGATTTCATGTGCCCAACTAACTAACTTTAACTACTTTTATCACTAACTAATAAATGGAATCTCTTTTTTATGTAACACTAATCAAGCACTCGTTGTCAATGATCTTGTCTTCCATTTCCTTGTTAATCGTGTTTTGAATGCTGAACAATATATGCAAGGCCATAGAATCCACCAACCTCATTAACACAATTTTCCAATAGGTCGTCATTCTTATATTCACATCGAAATCTTGTTGCACCACATGTAGATGCTTCCTCAAATGACCAACGTCAATTACTCATACTCCTTCAAGGTTTATTATGAAACATCTTCTAGTATCATTTATAATATCCATAAACATGTGTTGTTGAGCTATGAACTTACGGTAAGGAGGTAAATAATTAGGTTAACAAGTGTAATCTATCAGATTTTTCATCTCGATGATTTCCCTTACCCAATCAACTTATTTATTCTTCTTCTTGGAAATCAAGTATTGCACTGATTTTCTTGTTAAAGACTGAAGTTTTGGATAGTTCTCATAATGATACATCAAAACTTTGATAATAACTCTCTCTAAGTAATTTCATAGTGTTATAGAACATTGTAAATATATTCTATTACTTTATATAGATAGGAAAAATATGTAAGATATTTTATTACCTCTGTCGATGCTTCTTTCTAGTGTATATATATATGTAATGTTGATATAACAAACAACTAATTCATTTATGTAAACTACATGGTATCAGAGCCACTAGGGCTTAAGATCTTGGTTCAGAAACTTCGAAACTTTTCCTAGAATCTTGGGAAAAGCATTCGACTACTTGGGTTTTTGTAGAATACATCTAGGCTTGCCATCTCAACATTGTTTCATTTGTTCCAACGCACTACAGGATTGATTTTTTGGTGTTAAATCACTATAGAATAATAATATCTTCACTTCCAGGTTCAATTTTTATCCTTCATATGACGTAAAAATTTAAAAATAGCTTTGCGCTTCAATGGTTGCTTGGATTCAGTTTTGCTATCAATTTTTTTCTCTTTTCAACCTATTTGGTGTCAGATTTTTTTATCATTTACTCTTCTTGATCAATTTCTTGGATAAACATTAGTTAAAATGTCTGATGATAAATCTTCCATGACTGGAATTGTTCAAGCATTGTCTAAAATTATCGATAATAAATTAAATGAGTCTAACTATTTAGATTGGAATAGAAAAAATCAGGGTTTACTTGCGTTGTGTTGAAAATGATGATCATCTTATCCAACATGATACTAAAAAGACTTAGAGATGATGGTAGACTACTCTTGCAAATTATAAACTCTATTGACAATGAAGTTGTTGGTTTTGTTAGTCATTGTGAGTTTGTGAAAGAGTTAAATGGATTAAGTGGAGTATTTATATTCTGGAAAAGGTAATTTATCTCAGATTTATGAAGTTTGTAAGGCTTTCTATCGTTTTGAGAAGAACTCTAAGTCACTCACTACATACTTCATGGAGTTCAAGAAAACCTACGAGGAAGTGAATGTACTTCTACCATTCAATACTAATATCAAGGTGCAGCAGGCTCAAAGGGAACAAATGGTATAACGAGTTTTTTAGTTGGACTCCCTACTGAATTTGAGACTGTTAAATCACATATTCTGTTTACATTTGAGATCATCTCTCTCAGTGATGTTTTTAGTCGGGTGTTATGCACAGAGAGTACTCCGTCCAACAAATAGACCAATGTGCTTGATGCAAAAGGAGGAGGAAAAAATAATGCAGGGAGATGGTATAATAATGATGCAGTGAGTTTTAGAAAATGAGATATTTCTAGATGTTTTTTGTTTAATGGTTCTTTTTAAATATTATGTTTAGTATGTAAAGGAAAGGTAGTCCTTGATTTGTGGAATATGTTTTGTAAGAAAGTCAATAGTGGTTGGATATGTATGATCCTCTACTTACTTTGGAAAAGCCTATGTAGATATATGTGTGTGTCTTTTGAAATCTAAATATGAACGAAAATTTGACCTTGCTGAACCTTATCTTTTTTCTTCTAAGTTTCAAATCCTAACAGTGGTATCAAGAACCCTTATTCTTGAGGGATTTGTGAAGGCAATAAAGCTAAGGTTTTTTTTTCAATTCTTCTAAGGTGAGAGCTGAGCAGCAGTAACATGGCATCCACTAGCTTCTTGGGTGCAACCCTCCTATGTTTACAGGAGAAACTTATCACATATGGGTGATAAAGATGAAGGCTTATCTCAAAGCTCTTAGTCTATGGGAAACAACTGAAAGTGAACATGATCCTTTTCCACCTGGATCAAATCCAACAGTTGCACAAATAAAGATTTATGAAGATGTGAAGTCAAGGAAACTCAAGGCTCTCACATGTATTCGTTCAACACTTTCGGATATGATTTTCACAAGAATAATGGCTTGTGAAATATCTAAAGAAGTATGAGAGAAGCTGAAAGAGGAGTTCGATGGAAGTGACAGAGTGAAAACTGTCAAACTCTTAACTCTCAAAAGAGAATTTGAGATGTTAAGGATGAAAGAATGAGATAGTGTGAAAGAGTATACTGCCAAACTTGTCGAGATTGTTAACAAAATAAGGTTGTTTGATAAAAACTTTCCAGATTCAAAAGTGGTGGAGAAGATGATGATAATCTTACCAGTGAGGTTTGAGTCCAAGATTTCAGCAATAAAAGAGTCTTGTGATTTGAAGACTATCTGTGGTAGAATTGATCTGTAAGTTGCAAGACCAAGAACAAAGATCAAGTATAAGATATGAAGAAGTAGCAAAAGTGGCATTTCAGGCACAACATAAAAGCAAACAATTTATGAAGGAAATAGAAGGATGGAAGGAATCTTCAAAGGAAGGGAAGTTTCCACCTTGCAGCCACTGTATAAGAACCAATTATCAAGAAAAAAACTGTTGGTTTAAAGGAAAGACATTGATTCAGTGTAGATTCTATAGAAAGATGGGTCATATTGAGAAAAATTGCAGGGCCAGGCAGAATCAACCACAATAAAACCATGTGCAATAGGCAAATTTTGTTGAAAAGTCTAAAAATGAAGAAAAAAGCTTGTTTATGGCTTCTCTTGTAGAAAACACAATGAAAAAATCCTCATGATTTATAGATAATGATGTACGAGTCATATGTCACACAATGAGCTCTTGTTTGACAAGTCATTTAAAGCTTAGGTTAGGATGATAAATGGTGAAATGGTGCACATGGATAGGGTTCAATTTCCTTTCCGACTACAAAAGGTGCAAGTGAATTCATGATGTGTTGTATGTTCCTTGTTTAGCATGTAACTTGTTAAGTGTGGCTTAGATGATGTATAAAGGTTATTCCTTATGTTTTAAGGACAAACATTGTTTGATTTTTGACACTGAAAGATAGTTTGATTATTAAAGAAGAAATGGTGGATAAAAATTTTCCTTTAGATGAGAGGTTTTGATAGGGCAAATTTTGCAAGTAAGGATGAGTCATGATTGTGGCACAAAACATATGGTCATTTTAACTATGCTACTTTAAAATCTATGTATGAAAAGGGATTGACTAAGGATTTACCTGAGATTTCACTGTTTAAAGAAGTTTGTGGATCATGTCAAATGGGTAAGGTACACAAGAAATCATCTCCTAAAAGTGCTACCTGGAGGATAACTGAAAACTTGAACTAGTTCACACTAATGTGTGTGGACCACGCAAGTATCATCTTTGGGGGACAATAAATATTTTGTACTCTTTATTTATGACTTAACAAGGATGACTCGGGTGTATTTTTTGGGTAACAAGTCTCAAGTATTTTCAGTTTTTAAGAAAATTAGGGCTTATGCGGAAAGACAAAGTGGTTGTAAGCTAAAGGCTTTGAGGTCGTAAAATGGTGGCGAATACACTTCAAATGAGCTCAAAAAGTATTGTGAAGATATAGGGATTGATCACAAGTTGACATTAAGTTATTCACCCGAACAAAATGGAGTTTTCGAGAGGAAGAACAAAACAGTAGTTGAAATGACAAGATGTTTGTTGTTGGAAAAGAAACTGCCACAAAGCTTTTGGGAAGAAGCTTTTCATACTTCAGTGTATGAAAAGACTCCTATTGATACATGGAGTGGAATACAGTCATCTTCCAAGCATCTAAAAGTTTTTTGGTTTGATATGCTATTCTCATGTTCCTTCGATGAAAAGAAGAAAACTTGAACCAAAAGGTGAATTGGGTATCATTAGTATTCATCACAAGCCAAGGGTTATAGATTTTCAACTTGCAAACAAAAAGTATTTCAATCTTAAGAGATGTAGTTGTGAATGAGCATGCTTATTGGAACTAGGATAAGGAGAAAATTTAGAAAGATAATGAAACTTTTTAGAACTTGAGTCTGCTGCCTGAAATCTAATCATTTAGGTCTGGAACTCTGGAAGAAGATGAAGAATCAGACGGGGAATCCTCACTTGATTTGCCAGTTTTGAAAACAAGGTCCCTTTTTGAGATATATAAAAGTCCTTATGTTGCAATCTCGGAACAAATAGCTATCAAGAAGCAAAAATACATGAAGTTTGGATTGAAGCTATGGAGGAGGAGACTGGTATGATAGAAAAGAATGATACTTGGAAGTTGGTTGATAAACCCAAAAACATAAATATGATCGGGGTGAAGTGGGTTTATAGAACCTAACTTAATCCAGATATAAATTCAAAGCAATGCTTGTTGTGAAAGGTTATGCGCACGTTGCAGGTCTGGATTATGGAGACATGTTTGGACATGTTGCACGACATGATACAATAAGGCTGTTATTTGTTTTGGCATCTCAATCAAATTGGAAGTTGTATCATTTGGATGTAAAATCAACATTCTTAATATAATGTTGTGGGGTGAGATCTATATTGATGAACTAGAAGGCTTTCAAGTTGCAACAAACCAGAAGGCTTTCAAGTTGCAATAATGGAGGATAAAGTCTATAGACATCATAAGTCATAGTATGGATTAAAGAAGGCTCTTCGAGCATGGTATAGTAATATTAATGATCATCTCATTCATTGTGGCTTCAAGAGAAGTGAAAATGAAGCCACTTTATATATGAAGAAGGCTAAAGGGGGAGTTGTGATTCTGGTGACACTCTATATTGATGATCTTCTAGAAATAGGAAGCAATGAAGCTATGGTGAATCAGTTCATGCAAGAAATTTGAAAAATCTGTTCAAGCTACTGATGGAATCTTCATTTCTCAGAGAAAATATGCATGGGATATTCTAAAAGGTTCAAGATGGAGAGGTGCAAGCCTGTACCGACCCCAATATGTTAAAAATTAAAAAGATTTCGAAGTTTGAAGGAGGTCACAGGGCTGATCCAAGAGTTTATAGAAGTCTGATTGGTAATTTTCTATATTTGACAACAACAAGACCCAATCTCATGTTCGCGATAAGTCTACTATCGAGGTTTATGCAAGCTCCAAGTCAAGTTCATCTTGGGGTTGCTAAACGAATGTTGAGATATATCAAAAGAACTGTTGATTATGGTATTTGGTTTAATAGGGAAGATCAAGGGCAACTGATGGGTTACTTATATAGTGATTGGACAGGAAGCGTTCATGATATGAAAAGAACTTCTGGATAGGCTTTTGCACTTGTTCAGACATGTTCTCATGGAATTCAAAAAAGCAAGATGTGATAGCTCAATCTTCTGTAGAAGAAGAATACATCGCCGATGCTGGTGCAACAAATCAAGCTCTATGGTTAATAAAGATTCTACTTGATTTGGAGCAATATGACATTGAAGCTACTTTCATTAAGGTTGACAACAAGTCAACAATATCTATGGCCGAAAATCCAGTGCAACATGGTCGTATCAAGCATACAAATGTGAAGTTTCACACTATCAGGAAAGCAGAGAAGGATGTCAAAGTTAAACTTGTTCATTGCAATTCAGATCAGCAGATTGAAGACATCATGACCAAGGCTCTTCCTAATTGGAAATTTGAAGTTCTAAGGGCTAAGTTGGGAGTGTCCAAGAATAATGTCAAGGAGGAGTGTTAGAAAATGAGATATTTCTAGAAAGGTAGTCCTTGATTTGTGGAATATGTTTTGTAAGAAATTCAATAGTGGTTGGATATGCATGGTCTTCTACTTACTTTGGAAAATCCTAGATATATGTGTGTATGTCTTTTGAAATCTAAATATTAATGAAAATTTACCCCTGCTGAACCTTGTCTTTTTTCTCTAAAGTTTCAAATCCTAACAGGGAGATGAAACAACAATAATGATGCAGGGAGATGGAACAATAAAAATAATGTTGGGAAGTGGAATCATAACAATGATGGAGGAAGGTGAAACAACAATAATAACTCTGGGAGGTGAACAATGACAAAGAGGAGACAATGATTCTAGGAGATGGAACAATAACAAAGGAGGAGACAGTAATGTTGGGAGATGTATCAATGACAATACTTGTCAGGCACATAAGGCGAAACTATAAGAAATTTCAGAATCGCAACCAACAACTTCAGACTTAGACTGCCATTGTTGCTTCCAAATCTAGTTCACCCTCAATTGTTACAATCTTAACCGATGAATATGCCAGACTTACAAAGTATCAGGAATCAATGGATGAAACCACTTCATCCCATGCCCTTACTGAGTTAGGTAACAAATGTCTCATTTCCTCCTCAAGCAACTGGATCATTTATTCGGGTGCCACGGATCACATAATAGGTAATCCCAAAATAACCTCTAAATTTCAGTCAGATAAAGTACCATCCTCTGTCACCATAGATAATGGATCTAGTTATACCATTGAGGGATCTGAAATCGTTAACCTCACTTCATCTATTACTTTGTCCTCTATTCTAAGACTATATATTCTTATCTTTAAAATTTAATTTTTGTGAGTAAACTTACCAAAGAACTACAATGTTTTGTCTCCTTATATTCCGGTTATTGACTTTTTTAGAATCTTATGACAACAAATTATTGGTAAAGTACATGTATCAGACGGTCTCTACATTGTTAATGAATGGGCCCATCCATTAGTTGCTTGCTCTAGTATCGTCTCATCATTTGAAGCACATTATCATCTGCGACATCCTTCTCTACCAGTTTTGAAGAAATTATGTCCTCAGTTTCATAATGTACCTTTAATAGATTGTGAGTCTTGTCATTTCGCAAAACACCATAGAAGCTCGTTAAGTCCTAGGAATAATAAGCAAGCTGATTTTACTTTCGAGTTAGTTCATTATGATTTTTGGGGGCCATGTATGGTTGTGTCTAAAGTCGGGTTCACATATTTTATTACTTTTGTTGATAATTTTTCCCGAATGACATGGGTTTAGTGTATGAAAAATCGTGCCAAAGTGCTCCCATTTCTCTAATTTTTGTGCTGAGATAAAGACACATTTTAATGCTTCTATCCAGACATAGTGGAGTGATAATGCTAAAGAGTTCATGTCAGCATCATTTCAGGTCTACATGAATCAATATGGCATTCTTCATCTACACCCTCTCAAAATGAAGTAGCTGAGAGAAAAAATAGGCATTTGCTTGAGATTGTGCATGCTTTGCTATTCCAAGTGATGGTACCTAAGCAATTTTAGGCAGATGCAGTATCCACAACTAGATTTTTATGTAATTGCATGTCATCCACATTACTTAATGGTAATATTCCATATGGTGTTCTCTTTTTGAATAAGCTATTATTTTCATTATAGTCAAAGGTGCTTGGAAGTACTTGTTATGTTCGTGATATGTGACCCCATGTTACTAAACTATATCGATGGGATTTGAAGTATGTATTTTTGAAATATTCCCGCTTACATAAGGGTTATCGATGCTACTCTCCAACCTTTAACAGATATATGGTGTCTATATATGTGGTGTACTCAGAGAATATTTCCTTTTTTATTCTCCTGACACTTCTCCCACTCAAGCGCAGGAAGAATAATAATAGCTCATTTATAAGACCCCTTCACCAAGCTCAAAACACCATAAGGAGGTTTGTGGTAGTGTTGAGCAGTCAACTTAGAATGTGTTTTCTAATGTTCCTCCTACTCAAACAAAGCCGTCGATAATTCAAGTTTATTGTACACGACAAGCGACCAATGATACATGTCTGCACCAACTCTTTCGTTATCAGATCCTCCTCCAGTCAATCTTTCTCAAACAAAAAATCTTGATATTCCCATTGTCCTTTGCAAAGGTAAGTGTCAGTGTCAATTAGTACATTCCATAGCTAATTTAATCTCATATGACCACTTGTCTTCCACTTCTTGTTCTTTCATTGCTTCTCTAGATTCCATTTTTGTACCCAAAATAGTTTAAGAATCTTAGAGTCACCCTGGGTGGTATGATGCAATTCTCGAGGAGATGCATGCATTTAATGAAAATCACATTTGGATTTGATGGACTTACCAAAAGGAAAAAAGTAGTGGTACGTAAGTGGTTTTTTACGGTCAAAGTAAATCTTAATGGTTCTGTGTCTAGGCTTAAAGCCAAACTAGTCTAAATAATATGCTCAGACTTATGGGGTGGATTATTCTTATACTTTTTCTCCGTGGCCAAACTCGCTTCCATTCTCTTGTTTATTTCTATAGTTGCTTATAAGAATTTTCCGCTACATTGGTTGTATTATGAAAAAATGCATTTCTTCATGCTGATGTCCAAGAAGTATATATATAGCAGCCACCCGGTTTTGTCGCTCAGGAGGAGAATGGGAAAGTTTGTCTCTTGAAGAAATCCTTGTATGGTCTGAAACAGAGCTTAGATGCTTGGTTTGAGAAATTAGTCAGGTAGTTAAGAAGTTTGGGCTTATAAAGACCAAATATGATCATTCAGTCTTCTATAAACAATTAGTAGTTGACATTAGTCTTCTTATTGTATATGTTGATGACATTTTTATCACGTGAGTGATTATGCAGGAATTCCTCTCTCAAATCTTTCTTGCTTTAGACATTTCACACGAAAGACTTGGAACAGCTGAAATACTTCTAGTAAGTAAGAGCAAGAAGGGAGTATTTTTATCTCAAGGAAAGTATATCCTTAACCGTCTTGAGGAACTGGAAAGTCAACATCCAAGCCTTGTAGTACTCTAATTGTTTCAAATATGCAGCTAAAAAAATTGATAGGGATCCCTTCGATGATCCAGAGAGATACAAGAGATCAGTTGGGAAATTAAATTATCTCATTGTAACTCGTCCGGATATTGTTTTTGCAGTTAGTGTTGTTAGTCTATACATGACCACACATACAGTCGAACATTGGGAAACTTTGGAGCAAATATTATGTTACTTCAAAGGCGCCCCTAGACTTGGCATAATATATAGCAACAATGGACATACTAGCATTAAGTTTTTTGGAGACGCCGATTGGACTGGATCCAAGATTGCTAGAAGGTCTACTAATGGCTATTGTGTCTTTGTGGGTGGAAATTTGGTATCATGGAGAAGTAAGTAACAAAATGTTGCATCTTGATCCAATGCAGAATTCGAGTATAGAGCTATGACACAATCCACATGTGAGATTATGTGAATACATCACCTCTTAAGTGAAGTTGGGTTGAATGATCCCACACCCGCAAAACTTTTGTGTGATAATCAAGTTGCTCTTCATATCGCCTAAAATCCAGTGTATCATGAAAGAACTAAACATATTGAGGTGCGCTATCATTTTATTTGTGAAAATATTTAAGAAAACCTGATTTCCATGGGTTATGTGAAGATTGGAGAGCAACTAGCTGATTTGTTCACAAAGACATTGAATGAAGCTCAATTTAACTATTTGTGTAACAATCTAGGCACTTATATGCTCCAGCTTGAGGGGGAGAGTTATAAAATATTGTAAATATATTTTATTACCTTGGATAGATAAGAGAGATATGTAGACTATTTTCTTACCTTTGTTGATACCTCTTTATATTATATATATACATGTAATGTTGATATAATAAACAACTAATTCAGTTCTGTAAACTACTTATTGTTCCCCACAGGGTCCTCTGGAGAGGCAGTGATTTCCTTCACTTTTTTCTTCAAAACATTAAGGAAAATGACTACATGAATGAGGTTTGCAATCCGTTCACTTCCATTTCTGGTGAAACCATGATCTCTTTCATCAAGAACTCCATCTATTTTCTCAAAATTCTCGGAATGTAGCTTATTAGAGTATCGATCGAGCATATCAACTGTAGAGTGCATTACATTTTCATCAGGGCACTCATTAAACTCCGCACTTAGAAAAATTTTCTTTGATAAATCAATACAATAAAAAATAACTTTTAGCGTCTATAAATAAATATATTTATAAAGAGTGTTAAAGTAATTACCAGCATTAATTAAGTGTTATTAGATCGAGTGTTGTTAAAGCCTTTAAGGACATATATAAATAGTGCTAATTACCACTAAAAATACATATTTAGGGACAATTGAGTTATTGCGCTAAAGATAATTTTTGATGTAGTAAATCATTGGCACATAAATGTCGTTAGAACTTCAAGCACATAATTCATATTTTGAAGAAGCCTTTTGAGTTTTGTTGAACCAGAAGCATTGGAATAACCTCATCATGCAATTGGTTCCCTATTACTATTATATGAACAATTCTAACCTCTTTCCATGACAACCAACATGATTCACGATGCACTAAACAATATCATAACAAGCTTTCATCTCAAGATTTTGACATATAACAAACCATATCAACTAGATAACAATTATCATAAACAACACAAGCATTATGTAGGACTCCATATTCGTAGCAACCATCTCCAAATACGAACACATGCACATAAGAACCATTAAACATGTTATCATCAGACTCTTTCGTTTGTATATACGCTAAGGGTCTTATTTACTTCCAATAGTCATGACCTGTAAGGAACCAACTTTATCTATGTACCATATCAACGTGGTACCCAATCCTCCAAATATTTGTAACCTCTCACCTACGACACGAGCAACTTATCAATTGTAAGGTTATAGACACCCTTACCCTTATCACACATATAGCTCAATGTATTACAATTATATGCACATTTGCAATATTAATTA